GAGGGAATACTTCCAAACTCATTCTCTGAAGCCAGCATCACTCTAATACCAAACCAGGCAAAGAGCCCACCAAAAAAGAAAATCACAGACCAATATTCCTGATGAACATAGATGCAAAAATACTCAACAAAATATTAGAAAACCAAATTCAAAAATACATCAAGAGAATCATACACCATGACCAAGTGGGATTCATATCAAGGATGCAAGGATGGTACATTAGAAAATCCATCAACATCATCCACCACATCAATAAAAGTAGGATAAAAACCACAAGATCATCTCCATAGATGCTGAAAAATCATTCGACAAAATTCAACATCCATTCATGATAAAAACTCTCAACAAAATGGGTATACAGGGCAAGTACCTCAACATAGAAAGGTATGACATATGACAAACCCACAGCCAACATCATACTTAACAGCGAGAAGCTGAAAGCTTTGCCTCTAAGATCGGGAACAAGGCAGGGATGCCCACTGTCCCCACTGTTAATTCAACATAGTACTGGAGGTCCTAGCCACGGCAATCAGACAAAACAAAGAAATACAAGGCATCCAGATTGGTAAAGAAGATGTCAAACTGTCACTGTTTGCAGATGACATGATATTATGCATAAAAAACCCTAAATAATCTACTCCAAAACTACTAGAATTAATATCTGAATTCAGCAAAGTTGCAGGATACAAAATTAATACACAGAAATCTGTTGCACTCCTTTACAATAACAATGAACTAGCAGAAAGAGAAATCAGGAAAACAATTCCATTCACAATAGCATCAAAAAGAATAAAATACCTAGGAATAAACTAACCAAGGAAGTGAAAGATGTGTATACCCTGAAAACTACAAGACACTCTTAAGAGAAATTAAAGAGGACACTAACAAATGGAAACTCATCCCATGCTCTTGGCCGGGAAGAATTAATATTGTCAAAATGGCCATCCTGCCTTAAGCAGTCTACAGATTCAATGCAATCCCTATCAGAATACCAACAGCATTCTTCAACAAACTGGAACAAATAGTTTTAAAATTCATATGGAACCACCAAAGACCCCGAATAGCCAAAGCAATCCTGAGAAGGAAGAATAAAGCTGGGGGGCATTATGCTCCCCAACTTTAAGCTCTACTACAAAGTCATAGTAATCAAGACAATTTGATGCTGGCACAAGAACAGACCGATAGATAAATGGAACAGTAGAGAGTCCAGATATAAACTCACACATATACAGTCAGTTAATATATAGTAAAGGAGCCATGAATGTACAGTGGAGAAGTGACAGCCTCTTCAACAACTGGTGTTTTCAAAACTGGACAGCTACATGCAAGAGAATGAAACTGGAGTATTGTGTAACTCCACATACAAAAGTGAACCTGAAGTGGATCAAAGACCTGAATGTAAGTCATGAAACCATAAAACTCATAGAAGAAAACAAAGGCAAAAATCTCTTGAATATAAACATGAGCAACTTTTTCCTGAACACATCTCTTTGGGCAAGGGAAACAAAATAAAAAATGAACAAGTGGGACTACATCAAGCTAAAAAGCTTCTGTACAGCAAATGACACCATCAGTAGAACAAAATGGCATCCTACAGTATTTGAGAGTATATTTGTAAATCACATAACTGATAGGGGTTAACATCCAAAATATATAAAGAACTCACACACCTCAACAACCAAAACCAAATAACCCAGTTAAAAAAATGGGTGGAGGATCTGAACAGACACTTCTCCAACAAAATGCAAATGGCCAACAGGCACATGAAGGTGTTCCACATTGCCAATCGTCAGGGAAATGTAGATTAAAATCACATGAGATACCACCTCATACCAAGTTAGGATGGCAAACATCCAAAAGACAAGAAACAACAAATGCTGGTGTAGATATGGAGAAAGGGGAACCCTCCTACACTGGTGGTGGGAATGTAAACTAGTTTAAGCAGTGTGGAGGTTCCTCATAAAACTAAAAATAGGCATACCATTTGACCCAGTATTTCCACTCTTAGGAATTTACACAAAGAAAACAAGATCCCTGATTCAAAAAGACATGTGCATCCCCTTGTTTATTATCACTGCACTGTCTGTAATATCCAAGATTTGGAAGCGACATAAGTAGATAGAAGAGGTGGTACATATACTCGGTGAAATATTATTCAGCTATAAAAACAAGAAGTCCTGCCATTTGCAAAAACATGGCTGGAGCCAGAGGGTATTATGCTCATTGAACTAAGCCAGGTGGAGAAAGACAAGTACCAAATGATTTCACTCATTTGTGGAGTATAATGACAAGCAAAACTGATGTTCATAAAACAGTAGCAGACTCACGTACTCCAAGAAGGGACGAGTGGTTACGAAAGGGAAGGGATTGGGGAGGGAGAAGGGGATTAAGGGGCACTTTAATTTGCAATCACAATATAGATAGGTCTTGGGGAAGGCAGTACAACAAGAGGCGCAAGTAGTGACTCTCTAGCATCTTAGTACACTGATGGACAGTGACTGCAGTGGGGGGTGAAGAATTGATAATATGGGTGAATGGTGAGACTCCAATGTTTCATGTGAAGCTTTCATAAGATTGTACATTAATGAAACGTTAATTAAATTTTTTTAACTTTGTGTTTCAAGGGAATGTAATGATGGTGTTAAAATTATGTACTTGTTCTGATACGTTTATATGTTCAGGGTAATACACTTGAATTTTTTGCTACATAGATAGAACTGGATTTATTTATTTAATAAGCTCATGGAGAAATTTTTAACAAATCATGAACATGCCTTTAAAATATCCTGAGTGAGTGACTGTGAAGGGGTATGTGGGTGGGACTTGGTGAAGGGGGGAGCCTAGTAAACATAATGTTCTTCATGCAATTGTAGATTAATGATACCAAAATAAAAAAAATTAAAAAAAATATCCTGAGTGATAAAAATAAAGGACACCAATTAATCTTTTCCATTCTTTACCTCTATCATTGCAGCGAACAGTAAATGGATTCTAGCTTGTGGGTATAACCAAGACTATCCAGGAACCTGTTCCTGATAGTATTTATAGGTAAAGAGAAATTTTCTATAACACTTAAACATTGTTGAATAAGTTAACATCATTTAACATCAAAATAAAAGTGTAAGTATAATCTAAAAATTTCCCCTGTACTACTGAAAACAATTCCAGTTAATGACTTACCATTGGAGAAATAAATAGATGGTACAAGTATTGTTCCTACTATTACAGCATATTAGACAAGTCTTTGAATAAGCCTCAGCCTCTGTGGCATTGCGTGAGAGCCGTGGTGCTCAAGCAGAGGGTGGACGGCCCTACTGGTGTCCTAGCGGTGAGCCCAGGATGTGCGCAGCCCTGTCCTGCACGCGTCACACCCGACGCTCGGGCCCCAAATATCCCTTGTGCCGCTGTTGGAAAGTCATACAGCGGGGCTAAACCTTACGGGTGCACAGAGATAACCTCCTCATGTTGTTGAAAAACACTCAAAAAGTAGGTAGCCATTGAGAGTAAATGCTTGGTCAAGAAGTAGTTTTAATGATGAGATTTGAAATTGGGTTCAGAAATTTTGTCTGGATTTGGGAGATGGCTACCCAGGCGTGCTGGGGTTCTTGTAAGGCTGTGATTCTGGGAGAGCGTGGTAGTCGCCTGCAGGGCTTGCTGAGCCCCACGTGCCTGGGGAGGACTTGCTGTCTCACAGGCTCCAGCTGGGTGCGCCCTGTTGGGAAGGAGTGTATATATGGCACAAGCGTATGCACAACTCTGGCTTTCTGATTGGTCTCCTGACCTAGTTCCTCATCATAGGGCTACCAATTGTGCCTTTTCTGGAGGCTGCAGAAGCTGCTAATGTTCCTGTGCAGCTTCCGTTAGGACATCTGCCATCTGGGTAAAACCATGATTTTTACGTAAGTACAGGTTTGAGCCCACTGCCAGGCCTTACCCTCCCCCAGCCCTCCATTATAGGATCGTAGGTGAATGCTCAGCCGGCCACCCTGGCCTTTGCACTAGCCGTGGTCTTGGGTGTGCAGACGGGACCTTGGGCAGGGCTGCCTGCGGGCTCTGGGAGGGTGTGTGCTCTTGGGGTCAGGCTGTTCCTAGTTTGCATTCTGGCTGTGCGGTCACCAGCTTATACACACGTTTATTTGTGCTTCAGAAGGGCTTGAACCCTTCTTGTGGGGTGGTTGTGAGGACTCAATGAGAGAAATGGGCCAGAACCCCAGGCACTAGTGTGTGGCGCATTTAGCAGGCATTATGTATGTTGCCAACCTTTGTTATCTAGTTTAACCTTCCCTTCCTCATATGCTGTTCATTTTCAGCCTTTGTTTATCTGCCCCCCACCCCAATCAAAACAGAACTACATACTATGGTGGCATCTTAGAGGTTTTAATTTGATAAATATTTATATTTATAAAGTAAGTGTAATTGTCATATTTCAGAGGTGTTCTTGAGTGGTTTGGGTGTATAAGAATCATTTCCCCTGTCCTCGTGGTTGCTACAACTAGGAGTTTGGGTTTCTGTGATCCAGCTCTTGGCAGTAAGCCATTCTTTTTTCTCATTCCTCTGTGTCACTTCGTCTAAATTTGCTGTGTGGGCTTGCAACCTGTAATATCAAACGTACGTGATATCCAGGACCAGGGTGATGAGGGTGATGAGGTTGTGAGCTGCCGGCCTGGAGAGGTGCTGGGGGCTGGGGGTTGGGGCATCCATTAGGGCTCTGGAGACTGCCAAGACTGCTCCTAAAGCTGCACGCGCAGACATCCGAGTAGCTTACGGGCTTTGTTAATTGAGATTGTGGACTGAGTGTTCTTACATGGAGCTGGTTTTGAGCTAAATGAACAAAGTACCTGTGGCCATTGAAAGGATTAACAAAATGTTCTCTAGTGTGTGAAACCAAGGGGCGATCGCAGGCTTCCCGGTACTAGTGCCTGCCACGCGCCGTCTACTTGAATGTCTCTGAGAACTGTCATTCTGCATGCTGGCTTTGAATTCTCTTCTCTGAATTTCAGGCAAAGTCGTGCGTCTGTCACGTTTGTGGTGTCCACCTGAGCAGGCTTCACTCTTGCCTCCACTGTGTCTTCTTTGGCTGTTTCACAAAGAAGCACATTCACGAACATGCGAAGTCAAAACGGCACAACCTGGGTAAGGCGCCCTCCGGAGATGCTGGATGTTGAGGAGAGTCAGCGCCCCGCTTTCTTTTCTTTGAAGTGTGATGTACGGCACCCCTCTTCAGAAGTCTGTGTCCTTTACCTACAACAGTGTGGGCCCTCCTGTGGGACTCCACAGGGGGAGGAAATTAACTCACTGGACTATATGGCCACCTTCCTTAGGCATTTAAGTTGGTGTTCATGTTTTATGTAACCTTAAATGATGAGTTCTGGTGGTTCACTCACTGTTTTAGCAAACTTTCTTTGAAAAATGCTTTTTCTTTAATGGAATACCAGAAACTCATCTTTCCCTCTGAAAAGCATTATTAAGGTATTAGCTTAAGGCAAAAGTTTGCAAAGAAAGATATTAAATGCAGTATTAGGTTACTGAAGTCATCGTGGAATTGGGTCTACAGAGGCGATTGATACTACTTTCTCTAGTAGATTTTCGTTGTTCTTGATAAAAACCACTTTTGAATAACATGTTTGAACTTTGTGGGTTCACTTATACACGGGTTTTTGTCAGTAAATAATTGGGAGATTTTTTGGAGAGTTGTGACAATTTGAGAAGACATTTTTTCTCAAGCTTTTTTGGTAAGAAACAGTATATAATACAACTTACAAAGTAGGTGTGTTAATTGACTTTATGTTACAGTAAGACTTCCAGTCAATGAATGGTAGGCTTTGTAGTACTTAAGTTTTGGGGTAGTCAAAGTTATACCTGGATTTTTGACAGTGGGGGGTAGTAGCCTGTAACCCTGTGTTGTTCAAAGTTCAGCTGTATAGGTTCACAGAAAGGCTAGCATGAAGATAAATTATGTTTTATGTACTTAAAGTTCAGACTCATCACACATTCTGGAAGTTAAAGTTTTGCCCTTGGCTTTATTTTCAAACTATGGTCATTAAAAATGTTTCTCTCCTTTAGAAAATGCTTTCTGTTAAATGACTGTGAGGTTGTTAGGGTATCCTTAAGAAAATCATTTTTACAAGGTCCAAACCAGAGAACCTATTCTAGGAAATACTTTGTGTGATCCTACCAATTCCCATGAAAGTTATTTTGAGGCCTTTTTAAGTAGTAAAGATGGAGTAGTACTCAGTCGTGCCAGTGGACAGACCTCTTTTGTAACTAACTAAGCAAGCCTTTGCAGAAAGACACTTGGAATAGTGGCTCGGATGGTGATGCTGAGCAGATTGGCTTTTTTGGAAGGAGAGCTAATGATACTATGGGCTGGTGCACTATGGGTGTGCAGGCTGCCGTCCCAGGGAGGGACAAGGCAGGCAGTGATCCCTGCTTGTCCTGAGTAACCAGAGGAAGAAGGCATGAGCAGAATGCTGTAGCTGTGATACGTTCTGGGCTATATATTTAGTGTAGATCTTTGCTTTTAACAGTAAGTGAAGAGCTCCTGCCGTACCCGAGTATCAGACCCATTTAGGCTGCTGTTAGGCCTGGGCAGTGATTGTGTGTGGTCAAGGGTTATGGAAATTCAGAAATATATTTGCACTCAAGAGAAGCTGTCTGAAGACTGACTCTCACTGCTACCCAGCATCACCTATAAAAATCACTTAAGAAGTTTGTGGTCTTAATCCAATTCATCAGCCTGATGGGTCAACTCTGCCTCTACTTTTGCTAGAATGACTTAGAAAGCTTGCTTTAAGAAACAAAACCATGAAACACGAGAAAGATCAGCTCTTTGCTGTGTTAGAGTCTGTGAAGTCCCTGGCTAGAATGTAGGTTTCTGTGTCCAGGTGGGGAGGAGGGTGGGAACAGAAGGAAGCTGAAGTGTAAAATCAGAGAATGGGGTGGGCATGGGCAGCCTGCTGTGCGCCTCGGGGTTTGGTGTCTCTCTTTCCCAACTTGAGAGTGCTCATCCCCCAGCCGGTGCTGCGCCCACTGCCCTCCTGGAGCAGCTTCACAGGCTGGCTGTGTTTTGGATGTCATTTTGTGGAGCGGTTTTACAGAATGTTACAGGGCAATTTAATTGAACATATCAATGTTGTTTGAGATGTGGGGAGCCTTGGCTTCCTCGAGGCCAAGTTCTTCTGCCTCAGTGGGTTACCAGACAGCTTTCTCACGGGCCACCCGGTTTTAGTAGGAGAGGAATAGGAGGCCTGCAGTAAGCCTTGTGTGAATGTGGGTATGATGCCCTGAAAAGTAGGGTTGGGTAATGGGGTCGTTGTTGGAGGGCCTTGTTGGGGGACAGAGCTTGCCATGGGACAGGAACGGTGACAGCAGTCTAATGGGGGGTTCCCCTTGCTTTGTGCAGCCAACCCTATAAAATTACCATAATGTGCTGTGATAAAATACCCACTTCAAAAGAATTTAATTTGGTGTATTCAGTCTGATTTGAAGATTTACTTCATCTGTACTGTGGTAGGTGTCCAAGAGTACATGTTGGAGCCCAGGTAACTGAGGCTGTGTAGTAAATAAAGTAAGACAATGAGCTTGGAGCTATTTGGTTTCTTTTTTTCCTTTATTTCTTTTTTAATTGATTTTTAAAATTTATTTTTGATGTACAATATGCTGGTTACAAGTATACAACATAGTGATTCAACACTAACGTACATTATTAAAATGCTCACCCTAACTAGTGCAGTTACCATCTGTCAACATAGAAGTTACAGAACTATTGACTGTATTCCCTGTGCTATGCCTTCATCCCCACGACTTACACTGTGAGTGAGATGTTGTGCCTCTTTATCCCCCTCACCTGTCTTACCACCAGCCACAGCCCTCTGGCCACCGGTCACTTCTTGGTTTCTGTGTGTATGCTGCTGTTTGTTTTGTTTTGTTTTTAGACTGCACGTATAGATGAAATCGTAAGATGTTTGTCTTTTTCCACCTGGCTTTATTTTGCTGAGCATAATATCCTCTAGGTCCAGCTATGTTGTTGAAAATGGTGGAGCTATTTGATTTCGTACTTGTTAGTTTTATGCAGGTTTTTTTTAATGTTGAGTCACTAGGGTACTTAGATTTTGCCTGAATGAGTCACAAAAGGTTAAAAAGTAATGCCTTTAGCTTTGTTCCATGCAGCTTAGAAGAGTTATTTTAGTTGCCCCACAAGGAATGAGCAGGAGTTGGGGGCAGAGGCTGCAGGTGCCTCACTGTGCCAGCTCACATTCCCACCGGCAGTGTATCTCCCTGGTCTTGACAACACTTTCCTAAGTCTAGCCATCTGGCTGTGATGTGCATTTGCTTAATGCCTGATGTGCTCAGTGCGTTTGCACTTCTCGTCAGTCTGGTCTGTCTTTGGGGAAATGCCAGCCAAGTCCCTTGCCCATTTTCTTGGGCATCTGTCTTTGTTGTCCATGAGATGCATACGTTTTGGATGGTAAACCCTTCTCAAATGTGCGATTGCAGGTAGTTCATCCCGTTCTGTGGCTTTGTCTCACCACTTGCCCAGCGGTGTCCTTTGATGCATAAAGACAGGTTTTGATGAAACCCAGTCTATTATTTTCTTTAGCTGCTTTGGGGTCAAGTCTAAGAATCTTGCCAAATCCAAGGTTGTGAAGCCCTGTGTTTTTTTCCTAAGAGTTTTGTACTTTTTGCTTTTATTTCAGTCACTGATCCATTTTGAGTTAATTTCTGTGTATGGGGTAAGGGTTGAGCTTCAGCCTGCATCTGGATATCCAGATATCCCACTACCATTGTTGAGAAGGATGCCCTTTCCCCATGAGTGGTGTTAGCACCCCTTTAGCGCATTAGTTTTATGCAGTATTATTGGTGTGGAAAGGTACCCTGAAGAAGGGCTCATCCAGGAGAGCTGAACACACGTTGAATTAATTGCCGTGTCTCGCCAGGCTGGTGTCTTTGCTGTTGGCTGTATGCTTGGCACGCTCCCATGGTGCCTGTGCTTCACCCCCGTCGTTCTCGCTATGAGTCTTGGTCGGATCCTCTCTCTCCCCATGCGGGGCAGGTACCACTCAGGAGTAAATAGTGCCAAGCTACAGAGACCGAGCTTGCTGCAGTAGCTTCCATGTGGACTTTCAAAGTTGAATCGGCTTTTTTGGTAGATGCAAGGGGTGGTGTGGGATTCCTAACTAGTTTTGATCTGCTTTAGAGGACTTTAAAGATCCACCACAATATCACTGGTCTGTGTCATGGTAACTTAGGACATGAAATATGGTAAAAGCTGTGTTTTAGTGAGATGTTGATGTTTATCAGGAGGTGTGTTATGTGCATTAATTTGATTATCACACAAACCTACAAGGTGTTAGTGCTGTTATATTGTACCAGATGGGGAAACTGAGGCCCAGAGAAGTGGAGTAATTTATCAAAGGCACATTACTGTAAGTGGCAGAGCTAGGATTTCCAGTTTTTCTAAATTTGTGCTTTTTCCTCCATGCTGCATTGCCTCTCAAACATCTGATAATGCTTAGCAAATTTAGCCCAAAAAATTCCTTTTAATTATTGAATTGAGATGGTGCCTTTCTTCCAGGTGCTCAAGGACTGTATCTCATTTATCTTTATAATGAAGTAACAAAGATCCAGGCATCATCTCTGTTTTATAGATAATGCAGTTGGGAAAGTATGCAAGACCCACTCACAGGTGGGTAGCAGGTAGCTCTGTGGGTCAGGAAGTCAGGGTTATCTGGTCAGGATATTTTGCCCCTGTCTGTAATGCAGGAGTAGGCTAGTAGTTGCTGCACTCCTTTCTGCAATAGTACAGGAATTCTAGATGTAGTAAAACATGGTTACCATACGTCAGGTGGCCATGAATCCTCATGGACTGATAATACTCAGTGAGAGTCCCCCTGGGTTCAAACATCATGCTTTCAGAGAAAAGTAGAGTCCTGATACTCAAGATTAGGTCCTTTACGGATGTGGGACCTTCCTCTCTCATCCACAACACTCAGACCTTCCAGAGAAGATACCTCATCTGCTCAGGATAAACTGAAGTAGGAAGAAATCCTATAATTATTGGATTCTGTGATTTAAGAGTAGGGAAATGGTGCAAACAGTCAAAGTCCAAAAAACTTTACATGTTTAATTTTTGTCCTTAAGCATTACCCTTTTTAAAAAAAATTTTTTTATTAAGGTATGATTGATATACACTCTTATGAAGATTTCACATGAAAAAATAATGTGGTTACTACATTCACCCATATTATCAAGTCCCCACCCATACCCCAATGTAGTCACTGTACATCAGTGCATCAAGATGCCACAGATCCACTGTGTGCCTTCTCTATGCTACACTGTTCTCCCCCACACCATGTGTACTAAATATAATACCCCTCTGTCCCCTTCTCCCTCCCTCCCCACCCGCCCTCCCCTTTGGTAACCACTAGTTCATTCTTGGAGTCTCTGAGTCTCTTAAGCATTACCTTTTAATATTTAATTAAATTTTGTGTCTCTTTTCTCCTGTACCTTTCAGCCATGGAGCTTATGTATGGAGGCATCTATTGTTTTTTGTGTCAGGACTACATATACGACAAAGACATAGAAATCATTGCCAAAGAGGAACAGCGGAAAGCTTGGAAAATACAAGGTTTGGTTTTGCCTGGATTTATGTGCCTGACTCATCTCTTAGTCCTGCTTTTATTCCTCATGTCTGTTAAGGCCAGAATTCCCTAGGAGAAGATCAGTGTCTGGGAAAGAGGATGGCCACTGGGTGTTTGCAGGGTGAGCTCTGATCAGGCGGGAAGACGCCCCATGCCTGTCCGCTACCTCCTGCAGTGGGGCTCGCTGGAGCTTCTGACCATGATTTGGTCTTCCTGGTGACCAGGAGCCACCCTGCGTCACAGCAGCAGAACAAAAGATGCTCCTGGTACTCTTGTCACGTAGGAAATTACAAGGGTTTCAGGAGCCAGGGCAGAGACCAGTGTGTGTATTTTCTGTGGTCTCAAGGAGCTGTGGAACCAGTGTGGGTTCCTGCTCGCTATCACTTCCCTGTCCACACATGCTCTCTTCATCTGGTGCACAGTCAGGGATGCACCAAACATTATACAGTGCTATCCTTATTGTTTATTTTTTTACCAGTTTTCCTGATGTGTTTTTCTTTCTCTTAGTTTTCATTTCTAACGGATGCTCATGGCTTACTATAATGGTAATGGTATAGTTTACCCCACTTGACTAGGAGCATCTCTTAACTAGCAGAACCACCACCGTTTACCAACAACATAAACCCAGCATGTGTTATACAATATTTTTGCCTTAATTGTTCTGCTTGTTAAAAACAACCCCATTTTTTGAGAATGGAACAAAACGGAATGGGTGCTTAGTGATCAGAATTGTGTTTAATGGATCTTTTCTAAAGAATAGTCTCTTCGCCCACTTTTCTGTTCATTTCCCTCAAAGTGTGACATTGCTAAGTCTGAGTGTCCTGTTTCTTTATGCAGATCATGTGAACCACAGGGTGTATGTGCAGAAATGGATAACCCAGAATAAAATAGAATTCTCCTAAAATCATTCCAGAATTCCATCTGTCAGCAAGATGCTATGTCTTTTAAAGCTTCTTGAATCATGCAGAAATTGGAGGTAGATGGAGCAGATGTCTGCATGAATAGGGTGTTTGCGACACTGTTACTGTGTTTGGTTTAAACCTTTTACGGGGACAGCTTTCAGCAAGATGCATTTTCAGAATATATTCTGACAAATGTGTTTTCTGTCATTCATGTGCTCACAGGAGAATCCTTCATGTGAGTCCCCAAGTACTTCCCACTGACACCGATGCTAAAGTCTGTCCCTGCAAGTATTGAAGGGTTTGAAAAAACCCCATCTTGGCATTAGTGTTAAGGCAGCTTTAACTGGAGGTGTCACTTTCCTTGCCAGAAACAGCTTGTTAGCAGCACGTTTGCTACAGAAGCTCCTATAAGCGCTGTGTGTAGCCCATTGCTTACATGTATTAGGGTTTTAGAACTCATGTTATGGATGTCCCTCTTTAAAATACAACCTGATAAATACTCTGTCATCACCCCTTTTGTTTATAAACACACTTGCTGAAGATTTAGCTAACAGTCCTGGAACTGTCTTTGACTTGCTTAGGCATCGGAGAGAAGTTTTCAACTTGGGAGCCAACCAAATGTGAGCTTGAACTGCTGAAACACAACCCAAAAAGGCGGAAGATCACATCTAACTGCACCATAGGTAGGTGGGTGGCAGGGCTGCCGGGGTGGTGCATCCTTGCTCCAGGCAGACCAACCTCCCAGGGTGCCGGCATAATGTAAAAACATGGGCTTTGTATCAGGATCTGAGAGAACAGACTCATTTCCCCCATGGTGGGCTTAGAGGATTCCCTGCATGTCACTCACCTGTTGGCTCAGCAGCCAGTTTTGGTTGAGCACCTGTTCTCTGTGGGGCCTGCAGGAGGCGGCCGCAGTGTTGGGTGGGAGCTGTCCCTGCCCCATGGCCTGCACAGTACGCCCCTGGAAAGGCCTCCAGTTATTTTGGCCAGGTCGCGGCTGTGCACAGTAGTCTTCAGAGAGAGAAAGGCATGTGGGTTAGAGGCTTTTCCGGATTTCTGAGATTTCAAGAAATACGTTTTAGAAGCTGTTTAAAAAGGTTTGTTTGGCTCCTTTCTGACCTGTCCTGCTGTTAAAGAAGATGTTGGGTAATTCTGTCAAAACATTAATGGCTGAAGGGGAGTATGTGGTGGTGAACATCCCTCAGGATAGATTGTATAAAAGGGGTATAAAAATTAAATAAGTAGTACCTTTCTTCTTGCTTCTCATATGAGTGAGTCAGAGGGACTGACGTGTGAACGTGCAGGAAGCTGCTGCAGGGCCGTCGGGGGTCTGGAGGACATGCAACTCATGCCCGTGTCTCTCGCTGGCCCCTGGCCCAGGTCTGCGCGGTCTGATCAACCTTGGAAACACGTGTTTCATGAACTGCATTGTCCAGGCACTCACCCACACGCCACTCTTGCGAGACTTCTTCCTGTCTGACCGGCACAGGTGTGAAATGCAGAGCCCCAGCTCATGTCTGGTCTGCGAGATGTCATCGCTTTTTCAGGAGGTGAGTGGTGTTGGCTTTTGCACGGTTGCTTCTGTAACTGCTTTCCCCCCTTTAAAAAAAAAATGAGGTTGACGATAAAGAAAGCAAAAAAATAAAAAAAATGAGGTTTACTATGATAAAGGAGAACAAATTTCTAAAACCTTATATTCTGACATTCTGAGTAAATATTTAGTATGTGCATTTATGATGGGCATGCATTTTTTTCCAAAGGGAATTGTTAGAGAAGAGGTTGTGACATCACTTTTAGAAGCACACTGCTGACTAGAGGATGAGAGAGCCCTTTGAAAGGGGCATAACAGTGGGTGACATTAGTCTATAAACAAGCTTCTCTTGTCTGCTAGCCTGATTTCACAGTAAGGCCTCTGGACTGGATGTACACACGCCACTAGCCTACTTTGCCCTGTCTTTGGACCTTCTCTTCTCTGCAGACCTTGTGAGTGCCTCACTGGAAGGCCCTGTCCTTGTGACCGTCTGCCCTGAACATCAGGGTCTGTTCTTCTGATGGGATGGTAGGCTGCGCTCAGGCTGTGCCTGCCCATGTCTCCCTGGCCAATACTCATAGCATGACAGTGCGCAGACCCTCTGTCTGTGCACAGTGACCTGACAACAGGCTCTGAGCTAAAGTAGCTCTGCCCCCTGCTCTTGTCTCCAGTTGCTGAGAGGGCCCGGATGGACTTGAGGTGTCTGCACAGGAGCCAGCAGGCTGGCTGTGTGTCTCTGTTAGTAGCCTTTGATTGGACGTCCTACACCACTCAGATTGGACTGCCCTGCCCCCTGTCACCCCCCCTACTTTGCATATGGGCACTGGCTGCAGAGCACTGGGGCAGCCAGGACCATCTGCCTGCAAAGTGGGATTACTCACTCAAGGCAAGTTTGCTGGTGCCTGGTCTAGCCTGAGCCATTCTCTGTCTACCCACACCATAACTGTGGGGCCATAGCAGTGAACCAGCTGGAAAGGATTGTCGGACCAGAAAAGGGGAAGGTGGGCACAACTGGGGGCCTGGCCTGCAGTGTGCCGTGTATGCGCACATTTCCCCCTCTCTGGGGTGATACCAGCTCATCTCTGTCAGGTGTTTTTTGAGGCTCAGGTTTATTAAGGTGTAATTTATAGACAGGAAAATTGACCTTTTACTGCACAAATCTGTTTGTTTTCACAAATTCATGTCATAACTCATTTTGACTTATTTGCAGAAAACAGATGGTGGGAAAGGAGAAAATGATATGCAGACTCAAAACATACAATGAGTCCAAATAAAAATACAGCTTGCAAAATAAAAGGAAAGTGAAACAGTATCATTATTGGCAAACAGCCCATAGGAAATTCCAGGCAGCTGTTAAATACTCTTCTGTGCTTTGTGCTCAGAGAGGATCAGTCATTCCTGCAAATGTTTCTTTTTCCATCTGAGCAGTTCTACTCAGGGCACCGGTCCCCCCACATCCCATACAAGTTGCTGCATCTGGTGTGGACGCATGCGCGACACTTGGCAGGGTACGAGCAGCAGGATGCCCACGAGTTCCTCATTGCAGCCCTGGATGTCCTGCACCGACACTGCAAAGGTGCGGCTCCTGGGGGTGGGGGTGCAGAGGGCAGGCGTGTGCACTGAAGCACTGCCCAGGTGGCGTGTGTTCTGATTGCGTTTATGTCCCAGTCGGAAGAACACTGCTGTGCCGCAGAGAGGTTCTTCATGGTTTGTTTCTGAGAGAGGAGGGAGCAGTTTGGGAGCTGCATCCCGACCTTGCTGGGTATAAGTGCCGTGGCACTGGGTGGTCTGTAACCCAGAGAGTGAACAGTGAGCTTGCTCTCCTTGGCAGGTTCCCTTGGCCTGATTTTGTGAGGGGGGTGGACTTCGGCTCCACTGGGTTATCAAGGCAGGCTGGAAGCTTCTAGATAGGCTCCAAACGGCAGGACCTTCAGAACTGGCTCCATCCTCTGTGGTGTCTCCAAAAGGCCTGAGTGTCATTCTAAAGCCAGAGAGAGCTGGGAACCAGAGAGAGCTGGGAATACAGAGCTGAGCCTGAGCACAGCGTGTACTTCCCTGACCCTAAGTCCATTGCATTTGTGGGTCTAACAAAGGGTCTTTTGTTCTTTTTTTGTTTGAGAGGGCATCTCATATTTATTGATCAAATGGTTGTTAACAACAATAAAATTCTGTATAGGGGAGTCAATGCTCAATGCACAATCATTAATCCATCTCAAGCCTAATTCTCGTCAGTCTCCAATCTTCTCTTTTTGGTTGAGCACCTGTTCTCTGTGGGGCCTGCAGGAGGCGGCCGCAGTGTTGGGTGGGAGCTGTCCCTGCCCCATGGCCTGCACAGTACGCCCCTGGAAAGGCCTCCAGTTATTTTGGCCAGGTCGCGGCTGTGCACAGTAGTCTTCAGAGAGAGAAAGGCATGTGGATTAGAGGCTTTTCCGGATTTCTGAGATTTCAAGAAATACGTTTTAGAAGCTGTTTAAAAAGGTTTGTTTGGCTCCTTTCTGACCTGTCCTGCTGTTAAAGAAGATGTTGGGTAATTCTGTCAAAACATTAATGGCTGAAGGGGAGTATGTGGTGGTGAACATCCCTCAGGATAGATTGTATAAAAGGGGTATAAAAATTAAATAAGTAGTACCTTTCTTCTTGCTTCTCATATGAGTGAGTCAGAGGGACTGACGTGTGAACGTGCAGGAAGCTGCTGCAGGGCCGTCGGGGGTCTGGAGGACATGCAACTCATGCCCGTGTCTCTTGCTGGCCCCTGGCCCAGGTCTGCGCGGTCTGATCAACCTTGGAAACACGTGTTTCATGAACTGCATTGTCCAGGCACTCACCCACACGCCACTCTTGCGAGACTTCTTCCTGTCTGACCGGCACAGGTGTGAAATGCAGAGCCCCAGCTCATGTCTGGTCTGCGAGATGTCATCGCTTTTTCAGGAGGTGAGTGGTGTTGGCTTTTGCACGGTTGCTTCTGTAACTGCTTTCCCCCCTTTAAAAAAAAAATGAGGTTGACGATAAAGAAAGCAAAAAAATAAAAAAAATGAGGTTTACTATGATAAAGGAGAACAAATTTCTAAAACCTTATATTCTGACATTCTGAGTAAATATTTAGTATGTGCATTTATGATGGGCATGCATTTTTTTCCAAAGGGAATTCTTAGAGAAGAGGTTGTGACATCACTTTTAGAAGCACACTGCTGACTAGAGGATGAGAGAGCCCTTTGAAAGGGGCATAACAGTGGGTGACATTAGTCTATAAACAAGCTTCTCTTGTCTGCTAGCCTGATTTCACAGTAAGGCCTCTGGACTGGATGTACACACGCCACTAGCCTACTTTGCCCTGTCTTTGGACCTTCTCTTCTCTGCAGACCTTGTGAGTGCCTCACTGGAAGGCCCTGTCCTTGTGACCGTCTGCCCTGAACATCAGGGTCTGTTCTTCTGATGGGATGGTAGGCTGCGCTCAGGCTGTGCCTGCCCATGTCTCCCTGGCCAATACTCATAGCATGACAGTGCGCAGACCCTCTGTCTGTGCACAGTGACCTGACAACAGGCTCTGAGCTAAAGTAGCTCTGCCCCCTGCTCTTGTCTCCAGTTGCTGAGAGGGCCCGGATGGACTTGAGGTGTCTGCACAGGAGCCAGCAGGCTGGCTGTGTGTCTCTGTTAGTAGCCTTTGATTGGACGTCCTACACCACTCAGATTGGACTGCCCTGCCCCCTGTCACCCCCCCTACTTTGCATATGGGCACTGGCTGCAGAGCACTGGGGCAGCCAGGACCATCTGCCTGCAAAGTGGGATTACTCACTCAAGGCAAGTTTGCTGGTGCCTGGTCTAGCCTGAGCCATTCTCTGTCTACCCACACCATAACTGTGGGGCCATAGCAGTGAACCAGCTGGAAAGGATTGTCGGACCAGAAAAGGGGAAGGTGGGCACAACTGGGGGCCTGGCCTGCAGTGTGCCGTGTATGCGCACATTTCCCCCTCTCTGGGGTGATACCAGCTCATCTCTGTCAGGTGTTTTTTGAGGCTCAGGTTTATTAAGGTGTAATTTATAGACAGGAAAATTGACCTTTTACTGCACAAATCTGTTTGTTTTCACAAATTCATGTCATAACTCATTTTGACTTATTTGCAGAAAACAGATGGTGGGAAAGGAGAAAATGATATGCAGACTCAAAACATACAATGAGTCCAAATAAAAATACAGCTTGCAAAATAAAAGGAAAGTGAAACAGTATCATTATTGGCAAACAGCCCATAGGAAATTCCAGGCAGCTGTTAAATACTCTTCTGTGCTTTGTGCTCAGAGAGGATCAGTCATTCCTGCAAATGTTTCTTTTTCCATCTGAGCAGTTCTACTCAGGGCACCGGTCCCCCCACATCCCATACAAGTTGCTGCATCTGGTGTGGACGCATGCGCGACACTTGGCAGGGTACGAGCAGCAGGATGCCCACGAGTTCCTCATTGCAGCCCTGGATGTCCTGCACCGACACTGCAAAGGTGCGGCTCCTGGGGGTGGGGGTGCAGAGGGCAGGCGTGTGCACTGAAGCACTGCCCAGGTGGCGTGTGTTCTGATTGCGTTTATGTCCCAGTCGGAAGAACACTGCTGTGCCGCAGAGAGGTTCTTCATGGTTTGTTTCTGAGAGAGGAGGGAGCAGTTTGGGAGCTGCATCCCGACCTTGCTGGGTATAAGTGCCGTGGCACTGGGTGGTCTGTAACCCAGAGAGTGAACAGTGAGCTTGCTCTCCTTGGCAGGTTCCCTTGGCCTGATTTTGTGAGGGGGGTGGACTTCGGCTCCACTGGGTTATCAAGGCAGGCTGGAAGCTTCTAGATAGGCTCCAAACGGCAGGACCTTCAGAACTGGCTCCATCCTCTGTGGTGTCTCCAAAAGGCCTGAGTGTCATTCTAAAGCCAGAGAGAGCTGGGAACCAGAGAGAGCTGGGAATACAGAGCTGAGCCTGAGCACAGCGTGTACTTCCCTGACCCTAAGTCCATTGCATTTGTGGGTCTAACAAAGGGTCTTTTGTTCTTTTTTTGTTTGAGAGGGCATCTCATATTTATTGATCAAATGGTTGTTAACAACAATAAAATTCTGTATAGGGGAGTCAATGCTCAATGCACAATCATTAATCCATCTCAAGCCTAATTCTCGTCAGTCTCCAATCTTCTCAAGCATAACGAACAAGTTCTTACATGGTGATCGAATTCTTACATAGTGAATAAGTTCTTGCATGGTGAACAGTACAAGGGCAGTCATCACAGAAACTTTCAGTTTTGATCACGCATTATGAACTAAAAACAATCAGGTCAAATATGAATATTTGTTTGATTTTTATACTTGATTCATATGTGGATCCCACATTTCTACCTTTATTATTATTATTTTTATTTTTAATAAAATGCTGAAGTGGTAGGTAGATGCAAGATAAAGGTAGAAAACATAGTTTAGTGTTGTAAGAGAGCAATTGTAGATGATCAGGTGTGTGCCTGTAGACTATGTGTTAATCCGAGCTAGACAAGGGCAATAAAACATCCATGGATGCAGAAGATTTCTCTCAAAACAGGGGGTGAGGTTCTAAGCTTCACCACTGTTGATTCCCAATTTCTCACCTGATGGCCCCCCTACGACTGTGCCTGTCTTAGGTTGTTCCTCCCTTGAGGAATCTTGCCCATCTCTGGCTAACCAGTCATCTTCTGGGGCCATACAGGGAGATGTAAAGTTGGTAAGTGAGAGAGAAGCCATATTGTTTGAAAAGGTTAGCTTTTTACTTCTTTGCAGATTTATGCCCTGTGGCTTCTATGCCCAGCACTTGTCTCGAGGTATCTTTACCACCTGGAGGAATTATGATACTCGGTAAATTCGATATGAGGCACGAATTCTATTTAAGGGTTGTAATTAGGAAGGAAGAAGAAAAGCTATAGATGTAGCATATGAAGGAAACTTGGGAGGATTGATTATTTCTTTGACATATCTTCTTGTATAGTACCTTAAGTATGTATAGGTTTTAAACTACTAACTAATTTGCACACACATATTAACATAATAGGAATACGGTGACATAAACAAAGCAAATCTATAATTACCATCCATCTCCAGTGAAGCCAAGAAAACCATTTAGGCACCCTAGGCATTTGTGAAAATTTATCTATGATATGATGGATATTGTCCAACTGTACTTGAACCATCAGACAAATTAAAGCAGCCCATTTCTGGGATCTGTTCACATCCCATATGTTCTTTTAACCATAGATAGTCTATAGTCATGAGATTTTGGAGTGCTACAACTTGCACCCCTCCCAACTCCTGGTTGAGTTCCAACAGTACAGATCCGGTCAAATTCGTTGTCTCACTGTATGCACATGCCAGCCTAGACATCTCCCTCCTCATTCCTATGGCAAGTCCAGGAGACGGTGGGCTGGATGCAGCCACAACCGCAGCATCGTCCGGATCCCTGTGGAGGCTTTTTGATGATCATCCCCCGGCACAAGTCCTCCAGAGAGTGCTGATGCCGGAAGCTCCTCCTCATATCGTATCTTAGTTCATTTTCTGGGTATCCAAGCTAGGCCTTGATCTTCTGCGTAGAAACA